CCTTCTGAACTGGAAAAGCCCAACAGCTTCCTCCACCCGGCACAAGTAAACCCATGTGCCAGGCAGCCCAAGTAGGGTCTAAACCTGCTGAGCTGGGGAAGACCATCAGCTTTTCCTGCTTTGTACTTCTAAGCTCAAGCCTGTAAACCCATACTCAGTACCCATGAACCCTATATGAATTTAAACTTGTTGGTATGTCCTGATGCCACCTCTATGTGCTACCAGTCACTTGATTGGTATCTGACAAATTTAATCTATGATCCCACAGCACCATTAAATTAATGTCTGCCAATGACCTAAGGTCATACTGCATAGGAATTATGCAATCATTACACCATCACTCAAACCTGGTGCTCTGTGAAATTCCACTAAACTAAAGATCCCTGTTGTTCTCCTGGCATTTTTTAAAATACATTTGTGCTATCACTGTCTCTACTACAGATGAGTAGATATGTAAGTAATCCCTTCCAAAGGCCATTCATTTTACACATGAGCTGAAAGCAGTCATGCTACAGAAGGGATGATTTCTCTGCCTTTCTGGTTTCAAACATGCTCAAGATTACTGTCACAAGAACAAAACACTGAGAAATTTTGCTCTCCTCGGTCACAGTGCTCTTTACCTTCGCTACAATAGACATCATTTATTTTGTGCATAATATATAACTGAGATTTACAACAATACTATTAAGAGACAATAATGTATGTATGTACATATGTATGCAAATAAATGTGTGTGTGCACACTTTTTTGTTTTGTTTTTTACCCTTAACGTTGCTTGTGCTCCTGGACTCCCATCTTGGCTACAGAGAACAAGAAGAGACTCAAGACCAAAAACTGCATCTTGCTCCAAAGCCAGAAGATCTAAGAGAAAGGAATGAAGTTCAAAATTGAATGCGTTTCTAAACATGACAGCAAATCCTATTATTTCTATTCTGAGGTAGCTCTTCAGTAAAGGCTGCCAATCATAAGGTTAGGATGTGCACAAACTAGGGCCACAGTAAGGCTACTGGAGGTAGCTCGTTTATACTTATTTATACTGGAGGTCACTCATTTATACCAGCAGATCTCCAGAGTGAAGAGCAATGTACTGACCTAACAGCAGCATTTCCTGAACTGTGAGGTGCCTCCCATGAGAGGGAGGGGGTTGCGCTGTGAACTGTATATCATCCCAAACACATGCTTCAGCCAGCAACACTACTTACCTCTTCTGCCCCCACACTGCAGCCATCACTGCCAAGTGCCAACACTTTTGATTGTTGTTGGCAGGAGGGGCTGCAGTAGGGGGTCACAATAGTGCCTAATTTTATTATGATGGGGTGCAAACCCACCAGGTTTGAGAAACACTGCTCTCACTGCTCTACAGTAATTCCAGAGGGTGAGACCAGGGTCACCCTTAAGCAGAAGTATTTTGAGAAGGGGAGGTGGGGATGGTACGGTTTAAAAACAGTGGTTCTCAATACTTCCAGACTCAAGGCACCCCTCGTTGGATTCAAGGCATCCCTTACAAATACCAACTCTTAAGTTTTCACTCATTCTTTGACTACAAAAAAATAGAGCATTTTTCTCTTCCAAAGAGCTCAAAAAGATCACAACAGATCAGAATGTTTTTAATACTATGGATTCCTATTTGCTATCCATGGGTTTATCATGTGAATCATGTTTACACACCTAACTGTACTAAAATTGTAAAGTACTGTGTGGCATCCTTGAAAGGTTCTCAAGGCAACCTGGTTGAGAATCACTGGTTTAAAAGAAGGAAAAAAAGTCACATCATCATTTCAGAAAAGTGTCATTTTTTTTAATCCCAGGTTACAATTATTCTCCACAGCTCTGAAATCCTGTATTCTCCCAAGACAATTGTTCTCAAACTCCTTAGCTTCAGGGCATCCCTCCATAACCTTTTTATTTTTATTTATACACACATATAAAAATAATTTT